TTCAAATTCTTCTCTCCAACGCTAAGCAACATCCTACACAGTGTGATATTTAGTATAACCCAGAAGCGCATATACTCCTCTATATGTATGTATGTATGTATGTATGTAGTGTATATGTAGTGTATAAACATTCTCTGTTGGCCAAGCACAGCCTGTACATAGCCTAGCTCTAAGGGCAGTCGATCGATCGATCCAGCGGCATATACATATGCATATGCTCGCATGCATCTATAGCTCTTAAGTTGTACATAATTGTAAAGTTGTAGTAGTTACCGTTATTGTATTTTGTCTAACCGAGAAACATACATATATACCTTAACCATAAGCTGCCGCAACTTCGACTTAGACTTAGACCGCAATCAAGAATCAACCACAAATTGTTAATATCTATCGCAATCAATAATCCGTGTGTATATGCTTAAGTAAGGTTTTAACAAATTCATTCGCATACTGTATGTATTATAATATATAGCAATATTTATTTATTATTCTAATTTAGCGCCAGTGCACTCTGTAAGCAGTTAATTTTGATCTAGCAGCAATAAAGCAATATCAACAATAACGATAAAAACATTTAACAAATCCAAGTCTCTATGAAGTTGGCAATGTAATTCGATGGGTAAGTGGGGAAGAATATAATTGGATGAGTTGAGATGATATTTACAGAAATATTTTACATGTATTTGAGAAAGAAATATCATTTTAAAATTATTCAAAATATTTGAGATTTCTATATATTTTTTAAATTATTTTTCAGTATTTCCACTCATGACCACATCAATAAGCTTGTATACAAGTTCCATTTCCATTTTTACATTTATATTGACAGCTTTTGTGAACTTTCTGTATTTATTATTTTTGCCTTTCGCTCAATTATTTGTTCTCATATTTTACTGCCCGCAGCATCATTATTTTCATCAGAAGTCAGAAGTCCAGACATCTTTACAATATCAACTTTATAGTTATTCTTTTCGACTTCGAATCGAACTTCTATCGATGCCATTTCCTGTGCGTTTCGCCTGGCATAACAGAAATATTCGCAGCGACCACATTTGAAATATGCGCTAATTGAATGTGAAAACGAAATGCGAACTGCGAACTGCGAGCTGCGAGCTGAGGCTGGCAGCGCGGCCTCGCGTGGATCGAACGGCCGAAAGGCTCGAAAGAAAGCGAAATGGCCAAAGAGCAATGCATTTTGCGTTGTTCGGTTTCTAATTAAAATACCAAAATAAAACAGAAGAAAAAAACAACAAAGCCGAAAACCAAACTAAGCTCAATTGCTGAACGGACTCGACTCGGACGTGGCCCAGCTTTAACCTTCTGAGATGATGCTGAGCCACAGAGCCTGACTGACTGTGTATATGTGTGTGTGTGTGTGTGTGTGCGTGAATTTCGTACAAAACAAAATGGCCGCGTTGTGCGTTGTTAATGAAGCAGAAAATGCCTGGAATTTTCGCTTGATTGTGGCTGTCGCGAAGCAAACGCGACGATCGACGCGGCGGCGGCTTTTCGACTCGAGTCGGCTGTTTTATTTAGTTATTGAACAGCTAAGCCCAGTCGGCCGCCCTTTTTTGTACGCTGGGCCAGCGCAAAATTTAGCAGCATTTTTGGCGCTTTTGTTGTGGCTGTTGCTGCTGTTGTTGTTGTTGTTGCTGTTGTTGGCTTTTTAATTAACGCGCGCTACGTTTTGAACGTTTGAAGGGTCCCGAGTGCACATGATGGCCATATAACTCATTGGAATTATGGAAGAAGCGAATGGCAAGAGCTGCAAACGTCCACCCCAGCCAGCACCCAGGCCAAAACGAGGCGAGGCCGGACCCAGCCAGGCCGAGCCAGGGCGAGCCAGGTGAGGCAAGGCGCAAAAGAAACTTGTCTTGCGGACAAGAGAGAACAGAACGTACATAAACTTTATCCGTCTATAATCTAAATATGTTTCGCTATAGCGCGCTGTGCGCTGCGCTGCGCTGCTTTTCGTTGTTGTCGTGGCTGTTGCAACAATTTGCTGCAAATTGAAAGCCAATTACGTTGTTTGCAGCATGCCACAGCAATGGCAAGGCGACCAGGCAAAAATTGCAGCCACAGACCGAGGCTGAGGCTGAGGCTGAGACTGAGACTGAGGCTGAGGCGCTGCTGCCTTGGCCGCCTGCTCTTAGCAGACGACATAAATATCAAATACAGGTCCATAAATTTGAAACCAATTAGCCAACTTAAATTGATAATAGTTGCAACAAGCTGCCGCTGCTGCTGCTGCTGCTGCTGCCACGGAGGCTGTTGGCGATCGGCAGCCTGAATTGCTGTCCTAGCATTTGCCTACAAGCAGCAACAGGAAACCGAAATCTCGTGTAGCCTCGGCCGGATTGGCCGCTAATGGCAGTGCCATTTGTTGACATACGTCGCTCGTGTTGACTTGCCAATTTTCGTCGTCTTCGTCGACGTTGCAGTTGCTGCTGTTGCTGCGGCAATTGTTGTCCATATTGGTATAGAGCAACAGCGTCATATGTCTTGTTGTCTGGTGTGCCAGCGCCGTCCGCTCCGACCGCTCCGTCCACTCTGTCTGTGCCCTGCGCTCATGTCGTGCCTGTCGTGTCGTTCTAATCACAATTGTAGCTGCCTCCTTTGGCTGCCGGCCATGCGTTAACCATGCGACTTTTTATGGTGCTTTTATGCAAAAGAACTTAATTTCGAGCCTCGAAACGTTAGCAACAATGCAGCGCGTAAAATATGCACTGCCAGCCAGCCGGCCAGCCAGTCAGCCAGTCAGCCTAGTGGCATCGGAACGGGCGAAACGAAAGACTTAGGCAACAAACTTGCCAATGTATAAATGTGCGCGATTTGCCGTGTTGCGAGTAGCTGTTATAGAAAATTATCTTAAACTGATTTGATATATATTCAAATAGGCGCTGTGCGACACATGTTGATGTTGTTGCATGCAACAATTGCAGCGTTTGCTGCACTCACTCAGCTCAGCCACCTAGCGCCAGACACGCAGCCGGTAGCAACAGCAATGCAAGGCAGTGCATTGTGGATAGCAGCTCTCTGGCGGAACGGATAACATCGCTTACAGTAAACGTTTACTTGTATTTTAATTAAAATATTTTGCCATTTCCCTCGATCTGTTAGCCGGTCCAAGAGCCGGATTGAGATCGAGCCATGTCCGTGTTTGTTGGACAGGTGGCATTTATAAAAGGAGTATTTGAGGCTAATTTGGGTGGGAATTGAGTGGCACAGATCCACATACATAGATCTAGTGCCTGGGAAGTGACAGTCGACCAAATAATAACTAATAACTAAGCCCGACTCCCCATCTCCATCTCCATCTCCATCTGAAACTAACTGCGAAATTTCCCCAACAACTAATGGAGGTCGGAGGCAACGCTTTATAAATGTCAGACGCGGCACATTAATGTAGCGCATTTATCTAATTAGACAAGCGTTTTAAGCCCGAGCGTTCGCCGAGCATCTCACGCCAAATAAATTAATCAGCTAATTGATGGGCATAAATTAAGCATATGCAAATGAGGCGCTGGGCCAAATGGCGCGATTCGCGGCGCGCACGAGGCGAGCCACGACTGTCTGCGGCTTATTGATGGCCAAACTCAATTAAATTGGGCAAATGGCTGGCGCTCAATATTTGTCAGGCCACGGACCACCCACTGGGCTGGCCAAGTTGGGCAGCTCTTTCGCCTGCTGCAGCTGGACAACTCAATTAATAACAATTTCTCAGAACAATAATGCAAACTGCGCGTCCGTTTGGCACCCAACAAAAAATTAGATTATCTTTTGGGCAACTGCAGCTCATTCCTGGCTCTCGCTATCGCTCGCTGTCATCGTCGCTGCGGTGTTGCGGAATTAGTTGCTCGGCACAGGTAAAAGCACAGGTACAGGCACAGGCACAGGCAGAGGCAGAGGCAGCGGCACAGGCAGTGGCTTCAGCAGTGGCACAGGCTCCAGCTCTGGCTTTGGCCTGAACTTTGGGCGCGCGAGGTCGTGGCAGTCGCATGTTGCTTCAGTTGCTTTAATTGAAAACCGTACAAAATGGAAAATGGACTTTCATGGCAGGCAGTTGGGTTACTCTGGAGCTGCTCACTAAATTAGCCATCCGACTTTTTCTAATTTTGCGGCTGAGAGCGCGTCGAGTGCATTTCAGGGCCCGTGACGCTGGCATTTGGCAATTTATGGCAGGCCAAAGCGGTGTCGAAAATAGCGCCAACAACCGGTGGAGCCATGACGATAAGCGCAAGGATGATGACGATGACGATGATGATGATGATGACGACGACGAGCCTGATGCTGATAGCTTTTTGCAAGTTACTTTCTAATAATGCGCTGCAGACAACTGCAGCAATAGCAACAACAACAAAGGAGATGGGCTGATGTGAATGTGGATGTGGATATGGATGTGGATGCATTGCACACGAGAGTCATAAGCGCAACCAAGGCAATTAAGTTCGAGCGACAAGTTGCGCTGCTGGAAGCCAGGATAGCGATGGGCCAGAGCAGGTGGCGGCGGTGGCGGTGGTGCTGGCGGTGCAGCTGCAGCAACATGTTTATGGCTCGAAACGGATTGCACGTAATGGGATTTACGCTGAACGACAACGATAGCCTGCAACTGATTCAGCTATGGCCAGAGTCTCAGTTACAGCGCCTGCGCCTGCGCCTCAATAAAGCCGATCGCATTACCAATTAGGCGTGCACACTTGGCTAAACAGCCGCCATGTTCGCCACTTGGTTGCCTGGCTGGCTGGCTGGCTGGCAAGTGGAAATTGAATTAGTTGTCGCTGCATATGCGTGACTCGGTCTCGCCTGCTCTGGTCTGGACTCGCCTTAGACACAGATTGAGACTGGGTGTCGCTATGTGAGTCTGTCTCTGTGTGAGAGTGAGTGTGAGTGTAAACATTTTTTACACTTTGCCACATTCCTCCGCCGCGCGCATAAATCAAGCCACTGCTCGCCTGTCAATCCGCAACGGCAGCATTGATAGCGTCGTCGCCGTCTTCGTCTTCGTCGTCGTCGTCATGGCCAACGTAACTCTTGGCAAGTGCTCGGGCCAATACAGCTGGCCACATGTGGCCATTGCGGACCAGTGTGCTAGTTTCCCAGTGCAAATTATGGTGCAATGGCTCGAAATCCTGTTTTGTCTTGCAGCCGGCCACGCTACTCGAAGATGGTCCAGACGTTTGTTCAAAGGCAAATTTATCTATAGCATAGGCAATTGGTCTAGACTCTTGACTCTGGATCATGAAATATTGCTGTGTTGTTTTGGGTCACCCAAAGTTACAACAAATTTCACTCGAGCTGAACGCAATTAAATGCAACTTACAATTAATAATACTAATTCGCCATGTTCAATGTCAGCTTGGATTTTAAATGCGCATCTCGACATCATACGCATTCTTTTCAGGTATTCCGGTTGCGAGCCGTAGATCGATATATTTACTAATTTAATTCGACAGCTTTGGACAGGTGCTCGAGAAGTGGATAAAAATTTGCATTATGTGATATATAAAGAAAGCTAAAAGTAAATCGTCTTAATTTGATTGAAAGATTTATATAGATTCGATAGGATGTATTATAAAATATATTTCTGGGTTAGTATCCAAAGCCGATAGCTCGACGCTTATATTTGTTTTAATTTTACATTGATTCTAATGACTTTTTTATTAATATTTGCATATTAAAGTTTTGCTACCCAATAATCACTTATAAACTTGAAAATTTGAAACCGCCAACCAACCGCAGTACTCGCTCAATAGCTGATTGCTATGAAACTTCAAGTGAATGAGCTGTGCAACACTGAGTATTTGGCATACAGCAGCGGTCACACTGGCAAAACAGCTGATTTAATATTTATTAACAATAGAATTTTTAAGCGAATCGAATGAAATACTTAAGCGAATGAAATGCCCAAAAGTCGTATTTAGCACTTTTCAAGTAAAGTTGTTAGAAGTCAAAGTCGCCTGATTGTGTCATACCTGTGAAGTCTCTACTCAATACTTGAAAAGTATTTAGCTAAAATGTGGAATTTAAAGGATTCTGCCGCACACTTATATCGGCAATATGAGCTGGTCACCTGCATCAATATGTTTGAGCCCTGGGAGAAGAAGCTAATCAGTAAGTAAGGTCATGATAACGTTTTTTCCAAATGATCACATTGTTCATGTATGCGCAGATGGAATCTTCTTGTTGATGTTTGTGCTCTTGGTATTCTCGAGCTGCGTCTATTTGCCCAGCTATATGGACACGCTGATTGAAATTATAAGGCCAGCAGCTGGATCCAGTAAGGTGGATGACCTGACATATGTGCCACAGAGAATCAGCAGCATGTAAGACATGGCCTACACTATAGACTAGAATCACCCCATACAGGAGAAATCGACTTACATATATTACGCACATAGGACTTGCCCAATCGGAAGACAGATTAGATATGAATGAAAACATTTTGTGATTTACTTTAACTTGATTAAAATCTTTAAATATTTGAGTGTGCCAACGAATATTCGATTTGACCATTTTAAAACTTCTCTGCGGTACTCCAGGCCCATAAATATTGCCTCTACGACGCGCAGCGCTGAGAGATTGAAGAAGAGACTAATTAGACCACCGAAAGAGACTGAAAAGGGGACCAGTTAGTGAATAGCCAGGGAGAGGTTCACTTCTTGCACTTACTCAACAAGTCCAGAAATGTTTTCGAAACCCGCCTCACATAGCGCTGCGTGGGCAGCTCCACCAGTGCCACATGAATATCCGAGAAATCTTTCTCAGAATCCTGTTTGCTGCAATATAATATGTAGCTGTTCATGTTACATTCGTTTAACTAGTTCAAGGCACTTACTCATCGGCTGTATTGTATATAATGTTGTACTCTGGCTCCTCGCAGGAGCTCATGCAGTCACAGGACTTGCGCTCAGCGACCAGTCTGTCGTGGATGTCCGTCAGACAGATCAAGCCCTGGTAGTCGCACATGGGCAGCGAGTTCTTGCTGGGCACAGCCATAAAGTGGCTGGTGCAGTTGCAGTAGAGCAGTTGCAGGGTCACAGTGCACTCCACAATGCAGCCGGAGAAGCTGTAGAACTCGTAAATCCCGATGCGCTGCTCAGAGTGCTCATGACTGTAGCGACAGCGACGCTGCTCATAGTTCAGCTCCTCGACGCTCTCGTGATTGTAGACCTCGATGACGTTCAAGATGAGCTCCTTGTTGTTGCCCAGCAGGACTGTCTCGCGTATCATGCCCTCGGAGAAGAGGTATGGCACATCGATGGGTGCATGCACGTTTACCTGAATGTCCGCCGTGGCCAGAAACTTGAGGTTGCCGGCTCCCGTCATGCGATTGTTTTTGAACTGCACCTGAGCTACTTTGCGCGCCTGGACCGAGTTGAAGGTGTAACAGACGCCGTACTCCGTGAGTATGGGCAGGAACTGATCGCAGCAGTCGAAGATATTGTTAAGGTACTGGCACTCCACAATAAGCTCATGGCACTTGCTGCGAAACTGAAAGAGAAGTCTTTAAACAGAGAGAAAGCGAGAGCTTATGCAGTTCTTATATCCCACCACATCCAGCAGCTGTGTGAAGTTGTCTGGGCATTGGACCTTTTCGCACATCTCGCAGCTGGTGCAGATGCCTCTGAAGAAGGCGATTTCGCCGACAAAGTCATCGATGTGGAAGTCGTGCTCGATGCCAAAGAGCGAGTCGCTCGTGTCCCAAATCTTTTCCGAGTTGTACAGCTCGCAAACGGTAATGGCCGGAAACGAAGTATTCCAGTTAAGACTGCAAACGTGATTGAGTTAACTCTCTACACTATCCTTTGACCTTTCAACTTACTAAATGGTATCCAAGTTGAAGGACACGGATGTGGCGAAGTAGCTCTCCACCAGAGATTTGGTCACGGGCACTATGAATGTCAGCGATATATAAAGTGTACCCAAATAGAGCGACCTATTTTCAAAATGGGTTATATGCACTCATTATATAATTGGTCTCAATACCAGCAACATATACATATGTATGTATATTCTATAGTATATATGAATAGTAATTTACCCCTTCAGTGTCAGTGACAGAAAACTAATCCAGTGCATTGTCTGCGAAACGTTCGCTACCAAAGCCGAAACTGTTGTGAGCCACAGGCCAGCTTTTTGTTTTGATTTTTTGTATATTTGACCACACGGCGCAACACAAAGGAAAAGCGTAGCTCAGATTAGATCTACGCATTGTTCCTAATTCAAATCAATTTAGCCCTTTGCCTTGTGAATACCTTATTGGTGGGTATTTTACTCATGTCACGAAATATGTATCGCCTAGAAGACTTTTCGGAGAGGATAGAGTATATGGTATGCGATATATTCCTCTATAATTATGACAAGTTAATGTAGCCTGAATTCTCTGTTCCCTGTATGAATGGAGGTGCCTCAGTGTTTATGAAAATGTCAGGAAACTATTAAGCCGAGTTGATACTCTGAATATTGTAGAGAAATTATTGTTTATGACAAATCTTTAATTAATTAAGCTCAGTTTTCTATAAGTATAAATTGTTCAGGTTGCCATTGCCTTACCTATAACTCATAAGAGAAGCAGTGCAATTTTATCCAATCTAGATTGAGCCAGATTAGAGCTTCTAATTTCGTCTTAGCAGTCGCATATACAATTTCAATATGCACTGCAATTGAGCACTAGAAATTAAAGATTAATTTCCCAGGGCTTCCCCCCACAATAAACGTATAGCTATCGTAATACTCCTAGAATTGTGAAACTTTTTGCATTTCATTAAAGTGATTGCATTTATAGCTAGACGCAATATTAACTCGCTAAGATATATACTTAGTTGGCAATCAATGCATATCCAAGCAAGCACTTAGATGATTCAATGCTATAAAATCCGAACTGAATCAGAATACAATTTCATATAGACGCGCCACACGCTGGAAGTTAACAGAGGGGGCAACAGACTTGCGAGCTTAGTTGAGGATGGGCTTCATTCCCGTTACCTACGATCGATATGAATCATGCATGCTTATGATAATAGCAGCGAGGTATAGATTAAATAATAATAATAAAATCGGTGATGTACCCATGCGATATAAAATGGCAATAAATTTATTAGCACTGCGGTTAGTTGACCACAGACGCATTCACAATTCTTCTTCACTATATGCATATATTCATTGAGTAAACTACTCAACAAAATAAAGTAAATAAATAAAACAAAAATAAATTACTAAATAAATTACTTATAAAGTAAAATAAACAAATAATAATAATATTAATAATAATAATAAAATTGCCAATAATGAATAAATTAATATATGTCGTGCAATATTTTCTCCGGATTTTTCTTGTGACTCAAATTCCTCACAGTTCTAGATTATTAGTGGATCACTAATAATTATGACGAATTCAGCTAAATAGTCGTCGGTCATGGCGTCACTATAGTGTTTGCAATAACAAGGTGTTTAACATATGTATTTGTTTGACCAGCATTTATATAGCAGCATTTGCATATATATTTAAATATTTTATATATAAATCTAACCCATAATTATACCCGTTCACGACATGAAAGGAGATTATCTTTGATCCATGTTTGTATTTGTGTCTTTTTTTAACGCTGACAAATGATAGTAATAATAAACAAAAATCTCCTATTTTCTTTATCATAAATTTTCCTAAATTGGAATTTAATATTTTTTTCAAATATTGTATAAATTTGTATTAAGTATAGATCATAAAACACACACTTATTTTATAGTCCAGAAATGCCAAGCTTTTGGCTGAAGCTTAAGATTTCTAGTCGTTGATATTGCGCATATATTTGTGTTATTCCAGAGATGTCTCATTTAAGAGAGCAGAGGTGAATGAGTCATGCGTTCTGAAAGATTTGCACTCCATAGGCAAGACAAAGCATCTCAGCATTTAAACTTAAAGGCCTTAGACTTCCTCAAGAGGGTTCAATTTCCGCAACAAGGAAAAATGATAACACGAAATATTTCATTTTCATTCTGCATTATATTTCTATATATTTTAAAAGACTAACAGCTACGACCAATAATCTCAAAGTGTGACTATTGCAATGGCATTGAGAGCTAAGCTAACGAATAAATAATAATGAGTTTAGGAGACGGCACAGGATAGGCGTGTCCTTAATATACATTCTGTGTGATCCAGGGCAACATGTTCAGGACAGAGGCAAAGACGCCTGGCTGGTTCTCTCGCTTGCCGCAGCGCGAGCCGCCATAGGAGACGATGCCGTACTGGACATAGCGCACCGTGTTCTTGAAAGAGTTGCGGAAGAAGAGCGGGCCGCCGGAGTCGCCGCGGCAGGTGTGCAAGATGCCATCGCCAACAGCGCAGATGTGATTCTCGTTAACCGGAGCACCGGGATAGTAATTGCGACAAACGCTCAAGTCCTCCCGCCTAATCACCGCCTTGAGCAGCACTGAGGATGGGCGGTTGTCCTGGGTGCGACCCCAGCCCGAAATGAAGAAGCTCTGATCGTATGCTATATCCTGCGACTGACTATCAATGGGCAGGCAGATGGGCTTGATGTGGGACTTGAACTGAACGGGACGATCCAGTTTGATCAGGGCGATGTCATTGTTGATGTTGTTATCAACGTAGTTCGGATGCACGCGTATATCCTCGATGCCATACTCCTCGTAGGGTGGCAAGCACTCCTTGCGCCGTCCGCCCAGAAACTGACAGTCCTCTTCCGTATCCAAATTGTGCTCGCCCATGCGCACTGCAATACTGTGGAGCAGAAGGAGTAAGTCGATTTGACAGCGGAATGTGAGCTATTAGACTTACGGCAAAGCGCTCTCCCTCACACAGTGCGCGGCGGTTAGGACAAAGCGATCGGAGATCAGGCTGCCGCCGCAAAGGAAAGGTCGTCCGAAGGTCTCATACTTCAGCAGCACAATCCAAGGGAACTCCCCGATTTTAGTTACCTCTCCGCCGCTTAGCTTCGTGTTGGCCTTCTTGCCGCAATCCTTAATCGAGTTGAGCAGCTCCAAGCCACGTGGATCGATGCGTCGCAGATTGGCATTAGTTTGGCGCGTGCTCAATGGGGCTTTCGGCTTCGTCACAGAATCCCGGTTGCCGTTACTAGCGCTCTGAGCAGTAATCCCAGACGTGTTGAGGCAGCACAAATGGATTGTCTACAGGGCAATTGAGGTAATTAGTACAGGTCAAGTTAGTTTATATTGTAGTAGCTAATTACCGACTGCTTGGCCACATTGCAAGCCATTTGCCTGATCTGATTCTGTATCGAGCGTGGCACATTGCGGCCATATCTGTTCTGTACATCCAGCACGAATTGGCATTCCTGGAATGGGACGCAGTTGCCCAATTCGCCATTGGGGGTGTAACATCTGTTGTCCGTCTCTGAAAGAAAAACAAACGTTTGCTTCAGTGATGTGATAAGCTGTCCAGCCGACTCATAACTCGTTTAACTGGTTAGACCTAAACAAAGATCATATTTGTTCAGCTTTGTTCTGGCATATGACTCAGATAGCCGAATGCCTATTCAGATTACTTACGACTCAAGACCAGCGATGGCATGCCCAATAGCATTAGGCCCAAGCCGCCTATTAATAGTCGCATCCTGTCCAAGTGCTCAAGAAGAGTTAGATAAGTAGCGTCAATCTATGCGATCGGTTGTTGATCTTTAGCTCGACTCGGGCGCTAAACTGTGAATGAGCCGCGTCTCGACGTGTGCCGAGCTTTTGTACCTGGTGTTCGCGTGCTGTGTTAGCTGCTTATTAAAATGCATTCATGATAATTTGCCCACCTTCGAGATAATGTCGTTTTCAACTGGACAACAGGTTTGACTCGCTCGCGCAGTGCAGCACGTGCGTAGAACGCGAACTGATCATAGACTCGATATTACCCAGAATGTCGATTGGCTCCATGTCGGATGTGAGTGTCGTCTGGCAGTAGGCGAGTGGGTCAAGCGATTAAATTCCAGGAAACCCCCAGTGAGCAAATACTCTCTCCCCCCCTCTCTCTCTCTCTCACACACACACTTACTCTTTGTCATACTCGATTTCAGCTACGTTCTTTAAAATGTGTGTTTTTTTTTTTGCAAATAAAGATACATCCCGGTAACGTTTTTTTTAATTGACCTAAAATGAAATATTTGATGTTGATTTCATAATTTCCCCAGATATTAATCTCCGCCCATGCAGCACAGCGGCTGTCTAATTGCGCTGTTTTGGGCTCGTTCCCTAAACTTCTCTTCATTGCTTTCTGGAAATTCCACAAATGGGAAGCCCGATAAAGTGGACAATATTTTATGTACTTTTTCTGCTGTCAACTGGCACGCATTAGATACATGAAATCCCCCAATATTTGATCAACGAGATATGTGAATATGTCTACAAACATATAAAAATGTAAATTTCTGACTGATGTACTATGCATGACTAAAAATATTTCATATGTATATGTAAATAGAATTGCAATATCAATCATAATTGTGCTATGCTATCGCTACCGCTCTCAGTTTTGACGAGAACCGTAGCCTAACAATAAAAAGTTTGTGCTCTGCTATGCTCTCAGTTTTGTCACATCAAAAACTACAGCTGTTGCAAATAGCGGTAGCTGAAAACAGAAAGTGAGATGAAATCATAGCAAGATGAGAAAATAGCGAGATGATAACAGAGCGAGATGAGAGTAAAACAAATGTGAGAGAGCGGTATGAGCAGCAGCAGATCTTCTTTTGTGTTTTTAAAGTGCCAAATTTTCAGTCTACTACTAAGCAATTTAAGTTAAATGGATATAACTGTCATTAATCTGTTCAAATCAAAGTTATCCTCGTAGCCCTATTTTAACCGCAATAAAAGGACCAATCCTTGTACAATATAAATGGGGCTTGAGAGTTTCCATCTAGATTCATTCTAGATTCATTCTAACAATTCATATTATACACGTGACTCAAAAACACTTAATTATTAATAACCGATACGAAGGGTTATATATATTTATTTTATTTTATATTGAAATATTTGTAAATTTTTCGCATATTTTTCTAACATAGAAAATATATATTGTATTAGCTAAAAATATTAGTGATAATGTCTAATAATATATTGCAGCACTAAAATCTATTTAAATCTATGCCTGCAAACAGTGTTGGAAATTCGCAAAAGTCAAGCGATCTATCAGAGACACAAACACAAACAAATTGCGCATAGCGCTTTTAGTGAAGACATAAACCATAACCAGCTATGTTAGTTGCTTGAGGCAAAGCTACCCTATAATTTGTAAGGGATTCAACATGAAATTAATTTTTATTAAAGTAGAATATGTATTGATTTAAATGGTCGTTATTTAATTGATTTCACAAATGTAAATATTCAGTCATGCCTAGCACTTTTAGGTAATATATATTAAAATAGATATATATTAATATATTTTAAATATGTTAAATAAAATCAAAACGCAAAATGTTTCACATTAAATAATCTTGAATAAAAATACTTTACTTTTCTTTTCAGAAAAATAAGACAATTCAGTAATGCGCTCCTGATAAATCACAAGGAAATTTCTAATTTCCATATAGTCTTCATACCATATTAATTTTTCTGCAGCAAAAGTCTTAATGGCTGAAATAGCAAGCATGGCTTTAAATTCTCCTTTCAGCATATTAACCGATGCCCATTAATTTATAGACGTTTCTAATCTGCAAAGAACTCAGCCGGCTGATCGAGTCCGCTTGGCGAGACAAACAAAACATGGGCTCATGTATTATTGACTGCAAAGCTGTAAAACCGGTAATCTCTAGCTCTACAAAGAAATCGTTCTCGGCAAATACTTGCTCACCGATTCAGCTGAGAGTGCGAGTAAAACTCACAGAGGGAGAGAGCGAGCGAAACATACCTTAGGTTCGCAATGCAATCCACAGTGCTCGTATCGCGCCCTGCCTACCTGCACACTGCACCTTCCAGCTGGTGGGCAGCAACAGGTACTCTCTACCTGAGACGGGCTCGAGAGAAGAGCGTAGAGCGTAGAGCGTTGAGTCGTAGACAGGCAGACAGAAAAGACCACGTAGACCGCCGCTCGCGTTGCTGGAATTCATTCCACTGTGAGACGCCGTCGCGATCGCAAGTCTCGAGCGGACCGCATATCTTTGAGTGCAGACAGCAAGCGAACACTGAGGCAGAGCTGTAAGAGCAGCTGCCAGCAGAAAGTAAACGACTTTTAATTAAAACTCAGCTGCATTATCGACTGCCTATATAGCAGAGGTCTATGTAGGCGCAAGGGAGTGTGCGAAACGGAACCGCAAAACCCAGAATCCCATGACGCCATATTTGTTTTTTCAACCTGATTGAACGTGTGAGAAGCGTCCGTGAGTGAGTGCCAAGCAGAATCATCTCTGTGTGAAACGAGATTCGAAATTCATTTAAATAAGTGAAACAAAATCCAGCGAAAATTCTAAAACAAAAAACAACACACAAAATAAAAGCAAACAACAACAACAAAAACCCCGTCAAGTTTTGTGAAGTGTTCGCGTGTTTTTTCGCTGATATTATGGTCGGGAGAGCGTGTGTGTGTGATGTTGCAAGTGTATGCGTGCTTTGTTAGTAAATGCGACTGGCTGTGTAAGAAATATCCGCTTACCTAAGCGCACAAATTCTCTCGCGACGGCTTAAGAACCACACTTGAATACACCACAAAGCACAAACACACACACACACACAAGCACACACTGGTAGGCATACCTGTGTGTGTAGGTACGTGGCTAACATACATATAAAGCAAAACCAGAAAATCCACATTGCTCGGTCTCGGTGCGCGCCTACGTTGTCTACGTTGTCTACGCTACGTAAAGAACGCGCATAACGTAAGACATATTGTTTTGTTATCGTCGCTGCTTCTGCTTCTGCTGCTGTGACAATGGGCGACTCCACGCCCATTTGCCGCTGCCGCGTGCTGTATCTGGGCAGCGCGGTGCCCCGCCAGAGCAAGGACGGCCTGCAGGGCATACAGGAGCCGCTGCGCAGCCTCTATCCGTCAGAGGGCGCTGTGGGTGCCAAGGGCATCGATAGCTGGCTGAGCGTCTGGTCGAATGGCATCCTGCTGGAGAATGTGGACGAGAATCTGAAGCAAATCACCCGCTTCTTTCCCATCGAGTCGCTGCACTACTGCGCCGCGGTGCGCCAAGTGCTGATACCGGAGCGCGGCAATGCCAATCCGGAGCCAAAGTTTCTGCCGCTGGACTCGCCATTCGCACGCATGCCGCGCGCCCAGCACCCGCCCATCTTTGCAGCCATATTGCGTCGCACCACCGGCATCAAGGTGCTCGAGTGCCACGTCTTCATTTGCAAGCGCGAGGCGGCCGCGAATGCTCTAGTCAGATGCTGTTTCCATGCCTACGCTGACAACTCGTACGCTCGCCAGCTGGAGACGGGCAGCACTGTCGGCGGCGGCAGCAGCGTCTACGGCACGCTCAAGAGCGGCGCCGGCAGCAAGTCCAATGGCGACCTCACCAGCGTCGGCCTGGCCAACGGCCATGGCAACGGTCAGCATCACCTGGCCGGGCAGGGCGGCTGGAGATCGCGTGCCGGCAGCACCACCACACTCAACAGCCTGGGACGCACATCCAACGGACATGTGCTCAACGGCTCGGGCCTGGGCATGAATGGCGGCAGCACAGGCAGCGCCGCCGAGGGCTACACATCAGTCAAAAATTGTAAGTATATTGTGGCATGCCACTCAACTGCTGCACTCAAGTTCGTTGCCTAAGTCTTTCGTTTGGCCACGCCCCTCCGCGAATTGTCGCCAGCCAGCTAACGCCTTGAGAACATTTTCGCCCCATCTTTAGCAGCCATCAGATACAGCTAGTCGCTATAGGTACAGTTGCCTAAGTATAGCTGGCATGTCATCTAATTAGCTGCATGTGACCGGCACGAAACGTTAGAAAAGTCTGAGATACAAAAGCAACAACAACAATATAAAAACAAAAAACGCCAACTGCTTTGTCTCCCATCTTGGCTATGATCTCAGCAATCAGGTAGCTAACATGAGAGAGCTTTGTATGCCCTTTCAGAGGGTCTAATAAATTGCTGATGAAACTTGTTATGCATTCAAAGAGATGGATGTGGTCATCTCTAAACATATGGACTACAAAGCTCTATACAGAATTGTATTTGATATGATCAGCCATATGATTCCATTAATCTAAAGAGATATTATATAAATTTACTGAAACTTTTCAAATCTCTTTCATTGCAACAGAATCTTGTGGAAGTCTTGATTGCAAATAATATAATCTCAAGGATTATAAATCAGATGAATTCATATATATATTGACAGAGTATAATATTTGTTCCTGTTGATTTGTTTATACAATTATTTGTTGTGCAATATCAATAAACAGAACTTAATTTTATATAAACAGTAATCAAATTGAAGGTAAATCGTTTATCATAAAAATATTCACGAAAGATGAGCCTCACCTTGAAATACACACACACACACACATACAATTGCTGTCTAACAATATGTGCAAAGAAAATAAAGAAAGACAGCCAGAGAGAAAAAAATTCATTTAAACACGCCTCAGACATTGTTGAAAAATAGAAAATGTTGTCACAGCGTCGAAAGTATTTGGGTGCAGTACAGGTATTTTAATGTTTTTATTGTTTTTGTTTTCTTCTCTATCTTCTGTTATTGACAATTTGTTCGTATGCACGTTTCTCAGAGTGCCAGACTGTCGGGCTGTCGGGCTGTCGGACTGTCGAACCGACTGATGACTGATGACTGATGGAGGGCTCGGCAAGTGGCAGAGCTGAGCATTTAGTCGATGTTGCTGACGGTGTCTGGTAACAGAGAAACACTTACGGGCAGCCGCCAGAGCGTTGTCTTGCCGAGTTTTAAACACTTTCCACTTATTTAAATTTCGTCGAGGCACAGAAATCGCCGCTTTATGGCATTGCCTTCAGTTGTTGGCCTGGTCAACGACTGCCTTTGAAGTTGCTTGAAGTTGTCTCGGCTATAGCAAAGTTATGATAATTAGCATGTAAATTGCTAGACCTGAGGAAAGCAGCAACAGCAGCAGCAGCAGCAGCCGCTGCCACGTTAAATGTATTTTGAGCCGATCTCTACTCGAGCCATGCAAATTAGCCGCATTTCGCTTTCGACCTGCCAACTCCTCCCTGGTCAAATCTGAGCTGTCTGCATGGTTAATAGTTAGAAATGCGACCAATAAACCGAATCCAAATTCGAATTCGAATCGAAGCACTTTCTAGCCCCACATTGGCTGTAAATGCCGCGAGAAAGGAAATTACACGATCTTTTGCCATCTCATTCAAACTAAATATGCAAATGGAATGACTCGCCTAATGCTCTACGCTAATTAATAGAGTTTATGCCGTGAGGCAGGCGCAAAATTTATATTTCTGCGGCATTCTCACAGCCTCCACTCGGCCACAGCCAGCGCAGTTGTCATTTCCAAGTGCAATTGCAAAGCACACTCACTCATACACTCACTCACTAACACACACTCACATTGTAGCTGGGCAGGAACTGTGGTCGCGTGCAGATTAGTGGACGTCGGAGCCGCCAACACAAAACTTCAGATTCAAGTTGAGGTCGTGAGGGGGTTGCGCACACACACAGATAAGGCTTATACACATGATCGTAAATATATATATTTATACGTTTATATGTACTCACTGAGCACATAAATTGAGATGAACGCGTGAGAAAATTTTGGGTTAGGATTTATTTTTGTTATGACTGCTTTCCATTCGCTGGGCTTTGGACTTGGTCTTGAGTCGACTTGGTTATTGCCCTGCTAGCCACTTTCTTGCTTCAGCTGGTGGTGGGAAGACACACACACACACACACACACACACACGGCTATTCACATATGTATGTATGTATACTTGAGGGCTTGCTGGGAAGTGTGAAATCGAGTGGAAGTAGAGCCAGACCCGTGACTAACTGAGACAGAGCGGGGGGATTCTTAAATTTTGAGCGTGTGAGCAAGTGAAACTTTATTTAGATATGATAAAATCTGACACACACACACAGACACGTGCATGTGTGCATGTGTGTGTTTGTTAGTGTGTCTCTTTCAGAGCTATCTCTCTGAGCTGTAGATTTTCTATTAATTAACATTGTTAATTTGCTTGCAAGATTAAGGTCTTGCTGCCGCTCATTGTTGCTCTCGATGCGAATTGAGGTTGTGTGGCATCTGGCAAAGGAATCTCTGGCAGCTAGCTAATTGCTTTTCTCTCACTCTCGCATTTATTTTTAATTAAATCAACTAATTTCAATTGCATTTTAATGGCTTGAAAGTGTGCTAAAGCGAGAGCTAAAAGCATTTGTTGTTGCTCTTGTTGTTGTTCAGTTCAAGTCAAGTTTATGCAGCGACCTCAGCTGCCAATTGTTGGCCAACTCGGCTCAACTCAGCTCCATTGATAAACCAAGTGGCCCACAATTTGGCATCGCCTTCGTCCCCAGCCTCCAGCCTGCAGCCTTCGATTGCTGGCCGCGCCTCTAGCATGTTGATTCAAGCAATTTGCAGGTGGCTTTGTCCACACATTCTGTGGTACCATTTAAATGGCACCGAGCAGCGACAGACAACGAAAAACCAAGGCATACCATAACGAAACAAGTTGCACATTGTTGGCGACCAGATTCCAGTTTCGGCAACGGCACAGTTAACCAAAATTTGACCTACATAGCGCTCGAGGGAAATATCTTGTTTTGGCTGGCCGTGATGCAATCAGCTAATGAAAATTCTATTAGGAAATCAGTTCCGAGCAGCAAAAGCTTATAGTTTTTAAATATTACAAAAAAAAGAGCTATATACATATCTCAACGTAGGAAACTAGTTGCTGATTGACGTGCAACAGCAACAGCAACAACAGCAACAATAACAGGATGCCCACTTGACCATGACTGAAATATCGAACACTGGTGGGCGCAGCGGCAAGAGAAGCGGCAACAGGTTCCAACTTCCGCTTGCAACGAGCGGCATCTCTAGGAGCGGCAGTGCAACATTTTTAGCTGCTATTACGAGCAGCGATCACAAGTGGCAGTTGCCGTTGCCGTTGTTGTTGCCGTTGTTGTTGTTGCTGCATCGCTGTTGCTGTTGCATTATTATTATGCAAAGAAGCTGGCCTGAGATTGAGCGTGAAATATACCCATAGATAGTTTGGCAGATAGAGACGATGACTGAGTGAGAGAGAGAGAGGGAGACGAGACGAGACGAGCGAATGGCAGGCACATTAACCGAAATCCAGTTGCAGTTGAATGACTTGGCTCTGTTGCATGTTGCAGTCATTCGGCAAACATTTCGCGTTGACTTGCAACATTTTTTCAAAGTTTTGTTGTTTTTGTTTTTGTTGTTGCTGTTGTTGTGGTCAATCTCTGCTGTTGCCATGTTGAATTGCATTTAAGCATGGCTCGATTACACAAATTTGATTTTTGCTATTTGCTGTGATTGGACTAGCATAGAAAGGAGAGAAAAATAAAGCAAATTCCAGAGTTTGACCCACTTTGCATGCCACCTCTCTCTCTCTCTTTCTATCTATACCTAATGCTACCTTTGCTGCCTTCTCTCTCTTGTATTATTCTTTAATCTGTTTGAGTTGAGCCAAATTTTGGTTGTAATTAAGTTATTATATTTATGAGTAGCTCTTATAAAGTATGCGCTTGAATGTCGCTATAGTTATTATGAAATATATTATTATAGGCCTCTCAATTAAAAGTGGATTATTAAGTCAAAAAGTATACTTCGCTATATTCATAAGATATTCGTTTCATCTTATGCAAACTCTTCTTGTTGTAGATTGTCTTTGCTTATGGACATGATTTGTTAATTAGTTTACTTATCTCAATCTAGACTCTATAAACCTCCCATTTATTCCCGTGTACTCACCCATATCTAGATCGTATCAGTTATTCCACAAGTCACAGTGAAGTTTGCTGTGTTTGCACTCACGCCAGCTGACAGATTTCTCCATGGAAACCAATGTCAAAAAATCTCTTCAATCTTTATTGTCTTGTCTGGTGGGATGTGCCTGGCGACACACACTTGGCTCCAGACCCCAATCCATTTCAATTTGCGCCCCGGCATATATGAATAACTCACAATCTATGGGCTCGTAGGTGCTGCTCCGCTCTGCCATTAGTCACTCAGCTCTGGCAGCGCGACCTAGTGGAGCTCTGGCCGTGCAGCTGCAGCACGAGCTCGACTCAAGAGGTAAGGCGGGCAGCGGGAAGCAGACAGCGGAAAACGAAATGGCAAGCAAAGGCAACAAGCGAATTCCAAGCCACATTGCGACTCCATTTTGGCATCGAGTAGAAACAAAAACAAAACAGAAATTCAAAGGCGCTATTTGGGCTTCTGGCACTCCCCTTTCCGCTCGGAATGTTTTAGCTGAATGGCAAATGCGCTTAAATGCCAACAGTTTGTTTTTTGGCCAACTTCAGATACATTGTATTTAAACGGAGTTCTCATTCCGTGGCATGGAGTTTGCTGCAATGACTCACTCAAGCCCTCCAGCTCCAGCTCCAGCCCAGCCCAAGCCCCAGCCAAAACGTGGAAATACAATTTTCACGCACGCATGCGCTGAGGCCACTCGCCACATTAAGTGAGAGTATTAATTTTACTTTTCGTGAATGGAGTGCGCTGTGGATAGCACTGCACACTGCTTATGACATAAGTGCAGAAAGAGAGAAAAAAAAGGAGAGAGAGAGAGAGAGGGAGAGAGTGAGATAGAAGAGGGGGACTTCGGTTAGACCTGTTTAAAACAATTTCACGTAATTATTGCAGCTAGCGAAATGCGAAACAATTAAAAATTATAAATCAACTTCCACGCTCCAAGCTCGAAATTAGCGTAAATTGCAGCTGGAAGTGTAATTACCAGCTACAGCTTTGCATTTTTGCATTTTTGCCAAGCATTTCAAATCGAAGCCAACTAACTAGCCAGCTGCCCGGCCGGCCGATACATTGCTCCGTAATTTGATTGACTTCCGCAAAGCGTTTACGCAGATTATGCTCCCGGGGCGAGGTAAAAGCCACAAATGGATTGCTTAAACACCAAATCAAAGTAGAGTTTCACCAGATCACACACAGGCACGTCGATATATAATTATAATAAGGAAGTTCTTAAATGGTTCCACTCAGATTAGCCTCAGATCTTGGAAAGATATACTTGAAGTCTGTGAAAGTTTTGATTCACCTATATTTATATAAGCTATTTATCAATATGACTCTGTTGAAATAATTATGGATTCTCTTGCCTTGAATCGTGTCGGAAACTTCAGCTTTGAATGCTGTTCATAAACAATTAAGAAGAACATTTTCAACACTTTCAATTCGTATGGAGAATGATAAATGAAGTCTTAGATGTAGTGTGAGCGACCCGCTGAAACTGAAATATAATTTCAGTAAAAACCACTTAAGTTCACTTTCGAATATCGAGCTCAGAAATGAAAGTTGCCAAGATATGGATCCATTTACAAAACGGGGCAGAGCCAAATGCCAGAATTTATGTGAGAATTGGCGGAATGGGCGAGAGCCCAGAGAGCTACACAGCTCTCTTGGACATTTTGTATATATGCGATATAATGCATTTGACATTTGGGCATGTGAAAAGCTTGCTAATTAAGAAGCAACAACTGAAACGGAGCATTTCCCACAATGTCTGCAGCCTGTTCCGCACAGACAATACAATTTTTATGTAGAGTTTTTCAGCTAGCCGGGGAACTACCCGGGGGGGCGTGCACAGTGCCCAAAAAGTTCGCTCTCATTTTCAACGTCAGTCAGTCGAGCACGTTGGCCGCGTCTCGGCGGGGGTCAATAGACCCCAACGCGACCGGAGATTTCTCATGCCAGCAGCAGCAGCAGCAGCGACGACAAAGCAGCAAAAGAGCCAAAGAGCTGCAAAGCCACAGCAGAATAGCAAAAAGTAAGAAAAAGAGCGGAGGAACCAAACCAAATTATGGCATGGCTAAGAAGCGAAGCTACAAAGGCAGACACTAACAACAAATGAATACACAAATAAAAACTAGAAAGAACAGTTATTATTGAGAACACGAATTGCCAATACTCTTCGTAACAAAGCTTACCCAAGATCGAGGCAAACACTTTGTTTAATAAATATTTCAGTTTTTATTGCTGACACGGATTTATAGTAAAGGCATAAAGCTCGAGAAGGTTAAATTTACATACTCTAGTAAGAATTATACTAATGTTATTAAATATATTTGGATGCATATTAGTTATATACAGTTTTCCACTCTGCATATTTAATTTGTTTATAATAATCCAAAGAATTAGACAATATTCGTATATTACCATATTTTATAGTCGATTCATAATGCTCGCTGGCAGAGTATGCTGAAAAACTGACTCGTCGCTTTATTGTCGTCTGCCGGACTGGGCGGTGACTGTGACTTCGACGGCGAAGGCGACGGCGACGGCGACTTCGACGGCGACTGCGACTGCGACTGCGACTGCGACAGCGACTGGGGCTGGGCTGGTTTTTTTGTTTCTTTGCTTTTTTGTGGCAGGAAGCTAGGGCGAAGGGGGCGCAGCGCTGGCTGGCGGCAGGTGTGTAGCCGCCGCGTTCAAGTTATTAAATTACCGTTATTTATTACAAAACCGTTTGCCGTTGCCAGTGCTGCGATTGCTGCCATGGCCCAAATGCGCTGCAGAACCGCGCCAACCTTCATCGGCTGCGACAAAATGCGACGCTCAACTTGATAGTAACGGCATCGCGAACGTCTATGTGTGTGCATGTATGTGTGTGGCTAGTATATTTATAGATACACATAAGTCTATCTGTATCTGTCGAACATATTCGCATTGCCTAACTGACCAAGACACACACACATGCACACACACACACGTGTAGTACGTGCGAAGGGAACACTTAAGAGTCGTCAAAGTCGAATCGAAGCGCATTCAATTGCCTCACAATCGATTCATTTGAATGCGAGCGCCGTTGCCGTTGCTGTTGCTGTCGACTCTTGACGGTCTTGGCCTATATTCATTTGAATTTGTTTTTTGGATTAGACGCGCTCGGCTAATTTCCAGCATTTTGGCTAATGGAAATGTCATTGCCCGGGCCCAGCGGTCGCCACTTGGCGCGTGAATCAGCGCTTTAGCCTCAACTGCCCGGCTCAACGCGTAATGTGAGACAAGTGCGGCCCTGGTGCTGGGCCCCACGAGCCCCCGCCCAGCTCTGGACATTAATAGTCGGCTGGACAGCATCCATTGGCCGCGAAGGTCAACCAGCTATCGAGTGAAACCCAAGAGCTGCATTCAGATCACCCAGCCGATTGCATGATATCAAATGCGTCCAAACTCGTTCTTAGCTTGGAGTGGTTTCTACTTACATATTTATAAATTGCATCTTATATAAAACAGTTAAGAGTTGTTATTTTGCGTCTTATCCAAGATTCGTTCGATTTTTGTTGGCTGTACAATAAGTTTTAATGCAATCGATTATCGAGTAGCTGATCAATCAGAAAAGTCTGTTCTTGGTTCCTCTCTTAAGTCTTAAAATTCGAAATATTAATTCTATTTAGAGACATTTTATGGAATATTTAATTATTCAACCATACTAAGCCTCCTTCAACTTCTTCACCCCATTGCAGTTTATGGTAGCAGCGCCGACCTGAACGTCACCGTGGATGATGGCGACGCATCTGTGTACAATGGCGATGAGAACCACAAGGTGTGGAGCGGCTCACAGGATCAGCTGGACAGCATCGGCGCCGCGGAGAGTCCCTATGAGCTGTATGCCGGCAACACGTCCACGCTGGGCAGGCCGCTGCGCGCTCGTCAGATCAGCACGCCCATCGATGTGCCACCGCCGCCAGTCAAGGAGGAGCGCAAGACGAAGCGCGAGAAGAAGTCCTCGAAGTCCAGCGGCAGCCAGAGCTTGTCGGGCACACTGATCAGACCAAAGCCCATGCATCCGGCGGCGGCGATGCACCGCACACAAGTGCATCCCGGACCGGGACCAGGTCCCGGCTCTGCCAGCGTCATCTATGGCCCCGTCTCCGGGCCGCACGCTGCGCGCCAATATCACACAATTAGTCATCGCGGCTTTCCGCCCGGCCCGCCGCCGCATCACGCGCACGCACATGCGCATGCACATGCTCAGGCACAGGCGCATGCACAGCACATGATGCAGATGCAGCATGCACAGCATATGGCCGGCCTGCCGCCGCTGCAGATACCCATGATGCTGCCGCAGCAGTACGCGACGCTGCAGCCGTCGCGCTCCACCAGCAAAAAGAAGAAGAAGGATAAGAAGAACGGCGGCGTCGGCATGCCCGTGGGCATGCCCATTGTGCCGCCCATCTACGCCTACCAGCAGGCAATGGGCGGGGTGCCGCCGCCGCCGATGGCGCAGTCAATGATCGGCGAGCCGCGTCCCTTGAGCATGTCCAGCCGCAAGATGGCCGCCTCCATGGGCAACGGCCTGGATGACTCGGGCAACTCGGGCGCCGAGTCGCCGTCGCCAGGCGGCACGGGCATCTATCGCCGCAAGGGTCACCTGAACGAGCGCGCCTTTAGCTACTCCATACGCCAGGAGCATCGCAGTCGCAGCCACGGCTCGCTGGCCAGCCTACAGTTCAATCCACCGGACATGAAGAAGGAGCGCGAGATTGCCCAAATGGTGGCCGGCCTGGACCTCAGCGACGGCGAGCGCCGCCAAATGGCCCCCGGTCCGGCCACGCTGCAGCGCAAACAGGCCGCCATGACGAACGGAGCAGCGGGTCCAGCGCATCCACATCCACATCAGCCGCATGCGATATACGGCCCACTGGGCCCCGGAAGTAGCTTCGGCAAGCCGCGCAGATAAGCTGCCAAGCCAGGCAGAGTGCACCCGGCAAGGACTAGAAGTACTACATATATACACATACAAATATATATATACGTACGATCATATAAATACATATATAGAGTTACACAACATTTTAGCGATGCTGGTCAACTTAGAAATCAACAGTTAAAGACAAGAGCGACCAAGCTGTACTGCAGCAACAGACTTCAGATAGGATTGGGTAACCAAATTTCGCAGCGAATATCGTTTACGATATTGCAATCAAAATCAATTATCAACAATGAATATGTGTGCCTTACTAGGTTTATACTTTAAGTATACTATATATAACTATAATAAAAGCTAAAAAAAAAAGAAGAGAGACAAAAAACATTTATTGAGAATCCTTTCCGATGAAAGCAAAGACAACAAATAACCGATTATAATACATAATGTAGAATAATATAATAATAAATAAATCACACTTGAGAGCTGGAGAACAAGTTTTGTTTCCCCGATTTGCGAGCACAAATGTAAAATATCTTCACGAACGAGTTAGTTGAAAGCGTTTACACTTAGCTATAGACACAGACACATACAAACATTCATATATATATACATATATGCCTATAATACTGTTCTTTCAATCTGTCCATATTAGCATGTTAAATCGCAGATGTAATAGAATACGCCTAATCATATAAATACAGACAAATATACAGACATATGTGTACAATAAATATAATAAAATGTTAAAGAAACGCTTCTTTTATTTCGTACATCTATGGAGAGCTGGTCCAAACTCGATTTCCCCTATAAGCCAAGTTCTATTTCTATCAAATTCAACAATGGCCGCGACGCTCGGCCCAAGCACACCTTCGAGTCAATCAATTAGCATGCGTGGAGCACAACATGAATAAATATCAGCTATTTGCATACATAGATGCATATGTATGTGTATACGTATAGATATATGCATACATACATATATCAGTCAGTCAGTTTAACTGATTGGCACAGCGGGTGTTCTTGTAGAGGGGAGAACCACAAAATGCCGCGAGTGAAGCCAAGAGACAGCCGCCATGCACTGAGAAAAATGTTGACGTAAATCTAGTAATTATCTGCTAATCTGAGATTAGTTATAATTATATGCAGTAAAGCATAAATAGAAATCGAATACAAAATCGTATGTAGTTCAGCTAATTTTGGAATGTTTCCAGCCAAGTGCTTGTCCCTGAATCTTAAATACATTCTTATAAGCTCAAGGTCAAATTAGTCTATCTATCGCATGCAGTATAAATGTATGTATATCTGGTCGAATTAATATATGTATATTTCTATGTATTTCCGATAGCTATAACTGAAGTAAATAAAATTAGTTTAAATTTCAGTGAATTTCCTATACATGGCCTGCATTTTGAGCAGTGTTAGTAGGTGAAGTCAGACACCCACCAGCAGAACTACAGAATATTACTTCAGCATATTTTAAGATCTATAATATCTATACATATTTATATGAGTAGAGTCTATGCAATGCATATGGGCTGTCGCATAATGGAATTTGCATGCAAATTCTTGGCATGTCGCTGACTGCAGATTTCATATTTGCATATGGCATACCAGAGGCATGGGGCCCGGCTGTGGCTGGGGCTGAGGTCGAGGCTTGGGCCTGGGAGGGCCTCGTGGCAAACACAAATGTTCAAACACAAATTGTTCGAATATTTTGTTAACAATCGACTAAAGTAAAACAAGCGAAAGTTGCAGCGAGCATACTTTATGTGCATATTCGAATTTTGAGTGATGAAATCGTTCGAGACTGTTGAGAATTTCGGCAGAGAGACAGAGACAGAGACAGCGACAGCGACAGACACAGAGGCAGAGCGAGAGGAGAGAAACAGAGAGAGAGAGGGATGTAGCCGCGAGCGAATCCAATTCCGATTTCACTTCCAGTTTTTGAGTCGGCGCTACTTACTTATAATGCCGAAAGCAAAGATCATCGCAATTCAAGCTCAACTTTAACTTCCACTTGGTAAGGGGGGCAGCATGTGTGAGCTGTATATTAAGAGATACAAGATACGAACACAGATGCCGATGCGGATACACACACACGCACACACATATACAGAGAGGCAGGCAGATGCGGTGCTGCAGGTGAACAGGTTAATTCCCAAGCATTTAATAAGCACACAAAAGGCCAACAGCGAGTTGCATCAGTGTCCTCGTTTATATACATATTATATATCTTTTATTTTGGCCACAATAATTACGCTGGGCTGGGCTCTATGGCCCGTACTACCTGCACCAATAGCCATTTACCTTTATGCGCGTATTACCTAATTGCCGCCAGGCGCGAAGCATATATTTTTCCAACCGCTTAACGTATAAATCAAAATTGGCAGTTCCAGTTTTCAGTTTGCAGTTTTCAGTTTGCTGTTTGCTGTTTTCGGTCTTAAGTTTTCTACTTTCAGGAGTTATATGTCTGCCCCTCGCATTGCGTAAGAGGTTTTCAATTAAAAGCGCGTACGAAGCCGCTCGGCGGGAGGACAGGGCATCCCTCGGGCTGGCCGGCGGCTCTGAGTGTGTGTCTGTGTGTGTGTGTGTCAGCGGCACAGCCGTCGCGTCGTTCGCTTTATGGAAATTCCACGTTTATGCAACGAGAAAATGCGGCAAGAAAATGTTTTCCATTTCCAGTTTTACTGGAATACCAACGCCGACTTGGGCAGCTGGTCAAGCAGGCAAATCGCTGAGCGCACATGCCACACCATAAGCTGTCTCCAATGCATCTCGATTATGGCCGGCCCACCCGAGGGCCACCATAAATTGGGGGAAATTGATGGCGCTGCCTGCCACAGGAAACCCATTTTCCCATTTATCTAATTGTCAATGCAGGTGATGCTAACTAAACTCATTGTGCTGCTAACCAAGTCTTATCAAGCGGATGAATGCGCTTTATGTATCTCACGTACAGAGCACAGAATGCTAAGCTAAAGACTGACAGACCACAAAAAGCAGATGCGATAGGGCGGGCCATTTGGCCAGAAGTGAAGAAAGAGCTAATCGAACAGATAGAGCTCATTTGGTTGCATATATACGATTTCATATTACATCAACCGAGGTTGTCTAAGAAGCACACACACTTTTTAATGATATGCATATACATGCATACATATAGATATATGTACATATATATAGGTGTTTGGGTGACAAGAGCGTATAAACCCGATCCGCAGAACCGCTCCGCTGAATTGCGTGAACAGCAATCGAGACCTCGAAACACCTGCAAACAGCAAGAAGTTGTCGCTGGCGCTGTGGCCGTCACAACAGCACCACAGAGCACCACCGCCGATGTGGACAGTGGGCAGTGGACAGTGGTGTCCAAGATGTGCCGGCTGCGTGGCTCACAAAGTTTTGTCTTGTGGATTTTGTCTTGTTTCTAATGCGCGTCTCTTGCCACAGGCTTTTGTTATGCTCACATTTTATTTGTGTCTTGTGTGTGTTTTTTTTTTTTGCACTCTCTGAGACTGGTTGTGGACTGTGTATGTATATATATGTGTGTATAGTGTGTAGTGTGTGTGTGTTTGTCCAAGTCTACAAACCGTTGCATTGGGCTGCGACTGCGGCTATGGATTGCGGTTTGTTTATTGATAAACTCGTAGATACTTTTCTCTATAGCTGTTAATTTGGTCTTTTATGTACCACTATATACTAGCATCTGTGTGTGTGTGTGTATTGGTGTGTGTGTCTACCATTCGATTGAATCTTTGGAATGCGGACAATCCGGTCAGCAAATGGCATTCTTTTTACACAAACACAAACACAAATGCAGAACCAAACGGCTCAATGCGGTCAATCGGAGGGAGTAGGCACTTGACACGCCATCGCCATCTCTCTTTCCCTCTCTATCTCTCTCTGCAGAGCTCAACGGCTGGCTGGCTCAGGCTCAGACGGCACACATTTAATTAAACCTGTCATCAATGAACCCACCAAAAAAGGGGCGAGCAGTCGTGTCGCACGCCTTCAACAACTTTGTAATTGATCTGTTCGAAAATCGTCTGCATCTCTGGCCCTTGAAATTTGATTTTATATTTACATTTGTATTTATTAATGTCTGCTTATGTTGAGAGTTAAGAGCTCGGTTCTTGAATGAAATGAGGGATGGATGTTCACCTTGGCTCACTAAATTCTTTACAAAAGACAACTTAAATTTAAGATCAATAACACATAAAAAATGTCTATTTAATCTCTCAATTTTCTATTTATGTTGTCTATAAGGTCACATACTTAATAAAAATAATCGCAATCATTTTTGTTATGCTTTAGGAAATATATTTAATACAAAAACAAAACTATTCTTATATAATATTTTTGATTTCTTTAACTTTTCTTTGAATACGCTGTTCTGTGCTTCATCTGAGCATTATCTATTCAACGGGCTATAAAGAAAAAAAAATAATATTTTCTTTCAATTCACTCTCGCCTTAGATGGCTAACTGTATTAAAATAGAATAATTTTTCAGGTAGCGTAGGATTTGCTCTCTTTATTCAATCACGTCAATCAGCTGTCAAATGATGATGTAGCGGCTTCAGTTAGGGCGTTGCGAGTAACCACAGAATATTAAATAGTAGAAATATGGGCTTGAAGGACTTCAAGGAGAGTTGGGTATAAAAGCCAAGGTGCCTGGCTGGGAATTGGCATTGAGTCAGCGACAGGACAATAGTAAAGATGTTGCCCTACAAGAGCCCCAGGCGCTGTTCCGGTGCACTCATCCTGATTGTGCTCGCAGTCTACTTGCTACTGATCCTGCCCACGCCTTCGCACGCTGAGAGCCTGGACTTGCTCAAGGAGGAGCAGCAGAGGCGCAATATGGAGCCCAAGTTGGAGTCGGACAGCGATACACTCAGCGTCAATGGAGCTGGCACTGCCCGTACGCACTTTGGCAACAGCAACAGGCGCAACCAAAGATCCATTGGGTACGGGCCACGGTTTTTTCCTATCTCTCATTCCAAAATTCCCATTGAACTGGAGCTGCTGGTGAACAACGAGGAGGCTGAGCGCCCAAAGAGATTCGACGACTACGGCCACATGCGGTTTGGCAAGCGGGGCAACGATGAACAGTTTGATGACTACGGCCACATGCGATTCGGACGATAAAAATTGTACACGGATGCGGGGATAGGGGAATGATAGGCTTTTGTAAATAGTACAAACTCATGCTTACCAATGCTAACATAACCACGGCTTAACAAAATTCAAGTTAATAAAGAGATTCAGCATTCCATAAAGGAGTAAATTTATCTTTTATTTTTTTCAATGTTAATGTTAAGGTGAAAAAGTTCATTATTTTTATTCC